GGCGCCGGAAGCGCCGCCAGAGGCGCCGCCTCCCCCTGCGCCGCCTCCCCCCGCTCCTCCTGCTCGCCCCCTCCCCCCTCTTCCGCCTCCGCTCCTCGCCCTCGCGACACCCCCCTCCCGCCCTCGTCCCCGTCCTCCCCAAACCCCTCGTCGCCGGCCCCGCCCTCTCCGTCGAAGCCGCCGCCCCCCGCGCCCTCGCCAACTCCTCCGCCGCCGCCAGCCGCCGCCAGCCGCCGCCGCCGCCCGCCGCCGCACCCCCAGGCTGACCGCCCGAACTCGCCGGGGCCCGCCGCCCGCTGCTGCCCGCCTGGAGCAGCGAGAGGGCCTCCGACCGGGCGCGCGGCACGAGCGCGTTCACCTGTGGGGGCGGGCGCGGGGGCGCGCGCGTGCGGCCCCCACCCTCCGCCTTCTTGTCCGCATCGTACTCATGGCCATCCTCCCCCTCCTCCTCCGCCTCCGCCTCCTCCTCCTCCTCCTCCACCTCCTCGTCCAGCGGGAGACGCGCCTTCCTCTGCCTCCTCCCCATCCTCGTCCTTCTCCTCCACGAGCTCCTGCGTATCGTCCTTCTCGTCCGAGCCGTCTCTCTTCCCCCCCTCGTCCTACTGATCATCCCCATTTGCTTCTTCTGCCGTTGTTCGTCCTCCCCACTGGTTGTCCTCCTCCGTCCTCCTCCTCCTGAAGGCTGAAGCCCAACTCCGCGGGAGTCCCTGGGGACGCTGCCATCCCTTCCTCCTCCTCCTCCTCCTCTCCTCATGCCTCCTCATCTTTCCCCCTCTCCTCCTCTCCTCCTCCTCCTCCTCCTCCTCCTCTCCTCCTCCTCCTCCTCTCCCTCTCCTCCTCCTCCTCCTCCTCTATCCTCCTCCTCTCCTCTTCTCGACTCCCCCTCCCTCCTTCTTCTCCTCCTCCCCTTGCCTCCCTTGCCTCTCCCCCCCACCCTCTGCCAGCCCCGTCCCCCCCGTCCCCATTGCCGCCTGCCCCCTCGCCCAGCTCCCTTTCCCTCCCCCTCTCCCGCCCCCTCCCCCGCCCTGCCTCCTCCCTCCCCCCCCCGACGTCCGCCTCAATGCCCACGGCACGAGGACCGCCTCGATGCCCGATCCGACCGACCCCCCCCGCCGCGCGAAAGAAGACGGGGGGCGGGGCAACGCGCAACGGACGGATGCACGGGAAAGCTGCCGCGCGCGGGTGGCCTCTCTCCGGGGAGGGGAGGGACAAGCAGGAACCGAACGAAGCACCGAGGTCGCGGACTGCGCACGCCGGGCAACGAGTTGACGGTGGAGGATAATAACAATGAAATTAAGAAACCCAATCCGCCGATCCTTCGGCGTGTGGAAGACGCCGTCGTCGTCGTCGTCGTCGTCGTCGTAAATTCCGAAGAGATCGATGAAAAAAGGTAAAGGAACGTCGTAGCTAAGTCGAAACAGGCACTCCTTCCCTTCATCCCTTCCCTGCCGGGGTGGGGGGTCCCGGGCCAGAAGACCGCCTCGCAAGAGTCCCGAAAAAATCGTAGTTTAGTCGAGGGGAAATCCCTTCCGTTGAATCCCTTCTCTGCCGGGGGGCGGGGTTGGGGGGGGCATTGGGGGGTCCTTGGTCAGACTGCCGCCTTCTTGTGGTGCGGGGGGCGGTCCCGCGTCAGAACACCGCCCCCCCCCCAGGGGTCCCAACGGGGGGGGTCGCCGGCGGGGTCCCAGAAACAATCCCGCCTTCAAGGTCGGCGACATCAGCCGTACGGCCTGTAACACTGAAGAGACATCTAAGACGTCTAATACTCGTAGTACTAACCTACTAATACGTAAAAGAAAGGAGCAACAAACTACTGCGCGTATAAATACTCATGCCAATATTAATCATACGAAACCACCTAACGTACGATAAGTAGTCGACGCTATACTGAAACGAATGCGAATGATAATGCGAAGGCAAACAAAACCAATCATACTAGTATGATCCATCATGCAAGCAAGCGTAACGCACACAACAAAGCGAACACTACGGACATGCAGACGAACACGCGCTACTAATAAGTGCAAGAGGAAACAACGAACAATAACACTGTTCGTACTAGTCATACTTACAATCGTTCTGTTTAAGATGATCCTCACCCGGTAACGCGAGACGGGATCCCCAAATAACAACGGGCCACTTGAGGCCTGGCGGCTGCGGTACGCAACCGTCAATCGTCGAAGACGCGAGGCGTGATAATTATCCAGGGGGCGCTGGGGCACTTTGGGCTTTGGGCCTGGAGGCCGCGGTATGCAGGGTGTGCGAGGCGTGTCGGGCGCTCCATTCTTTCAAGTTAGCAACCGCATCCTGTCGGATGGGGAAAATGAGGACTCGGCCGTGGTGCTGCATATTTGATGTCACGTGCCTGCTTGCACTGGGTAGAACGCACCGTGCAACCCTTGATCAAACAAGACTCCAAGGACGGGCCACAAAGATAACCCATCCGCGCGAACTGGAGGTAATTCCCTTCGGGTCCCTCGGGCGTCGTCGCCTCCCATGCTGGGTGAACCAGCCAAGCCCCCTGGGACATTTTGCTGTAGGCTGCTGCTGTGACAAGCTTCCGGAGAACTTGGCACGCAGGAAGGGGTGAATAGATAAAAAGGCCAGGGAAGCATGAAGTCTGGCCATCACTGAGACAGGAACCCCAGAGTAGACATAATTTCTGCCGCGTCGCCAAGCCCTGCACAATTCGCAGGAATGCAACATTCGAATTCGCACCGGCTGCCATCAACCGAGAAGCGACCTCCAAAGCCGGTGCCCTCAGCGACGGCTGCAGCTGCAACTCCGAGAACACAGCTTCGCCATCAACGAAGCGGCCTAGCGATGCAGCGTCCGCGTCGTCTAACCCTTTCGCATCTTGTGAACGGATTCTGGACTGAATGTCCGTGGCGAGGTCCTCATGGGAGGCCTCCAGGCCCCCGGAACACCCGAGGGAGGCGGCGGGAGAGAGGACACACAAGAGGACGAGGGGGAGGATGCGGAGGACGACGAGGGGGAGAGCAGAGGGGAATAGGCAGCAGGGAGGCGGAAGAGGAGGGCGGTTGGGGGGGATGGTGAAGCTATCTCCCCCGGGGATCCTCGTCGTCCGGTTTTCGGGTCAGAAGTCGGGTCTGGGCACTCCGGGAACGCCCTCGCCGAGGCGCAGCTGCTGGAACGCAACCCGATGCCGGAAGACCGCTGAGAACCGACGAAACCGCCCGATAAGCTCGAGACTCGATACTGGAACCTGAAACGTCTCCCCCTGAGGAGAGTGATCATCTCGGGGGCGACGGGGGGGCGAATAGCCCAGGAGAGAGCAATACAGTTATCCAGCGGCACCGACTGGTCCACGCCTTCGACGAGGCTCCCCGGGAGATTACGTGTAATGCCCACCCCTGGGCTACAGTCGCCCATTTCGGAGCTTCTCGAGCGGGGCGGCCAACGAAAATGGCGAAGGATGTGTCGAAGGGGGCAAGGATGCAAGGGCACCCTTGAGAAGGCTGCCCATCCTTACTATGCGGGTTGACTGTTTTCGCTCCTATGGCCGCCACCGATGCGAGGGGGGGGGAGGCCCCGAGGGCGGCGCCGCAGAAGCGGCCGCCGCGGCCAGGGAGGGCGCACCCCCCAGCGCCTCGGCGACGCCAGCGCCGCTGGCCTGCTGCAGCACCCACTCCTGGAAGGGTGGGGTGAGGCGCCGTCATTTTTTGTAGACTCGATGGAACATTTGATTTTCGGTGAGTCAAGTATGCAGTCGATATCCTACTCGACTCGTCTCGCTCCTCGCTCCTCGTGGTCCTGTCTCCTCCTCCTGCTCCTCGCTCCTCCTCCTGCTCCTCGTCGAACCTCTCCTCCGCCCCCTCGCTCCTCCTCGCTCCTGCTGCTGTCGGGGTCCTACTGACCCGGGTCAGTGCAAACCCGAATCCGTCGGGCCTTGCGAGATTCTGCAGGCTCCTGCGCGCCAGCGGGTCGGTGCACCCCTGGCTCTGCAGGATCCTGCGAGATCTGGCGCTCTGGCCGACCCTCGCTTGCATCGATCCCCGCCCCGAGGCTCCTGCTGCTGCGCCTCCGTGCCTCCTCCGGCGGCTCGCCCCCCCACCTCGACTCCGCCTGCTCGCCGTGCCGCTGCCGCTCCCCGTGCTGCCCCCCCCCCCCCGGCTCCTCCTCTGAGCTGCCGCGGCTCTCTCGCCGATGTCCTGCCCGCTCCTGTCTTCGCCCCGCCCTCTTGGGCGCGAATTGCATGGGGCGGTGATAGATGGCGGGGGGACGAAAGGTGCCCTTTTGAAGCCCTGAGGCTCCTTCTGGGCCCGAAAGGGCACCTAAAGGGCCCCTTTCTGCAGCCCTCGCTGCCCCCCCCCCATGTATGCCCTTCCATATGTCGCGCCCCGACCTTCCCTCTGCTCCTCTCCTCCGTCCCTCCCGCTGCTCGCTCGCTGCCCCTCCCCCGCCGCCCTCCTTCCCTCCTCTGCCTCTGGCTGCTCGTTCGCTGCTCCTCCCCCGCCCCCCTCTGCGCCTCCCCTCCTTCTCCTCCTCCAGGTCATACAGTCGGACTCGATTGGACAGGACAGAGGACACAAGACCCTTCCGAGGGCCACGTTGCCAGAGAAATGCAGGAAACATGGGTCGCGAGACACAGGACACGAAAATACCCTTGATCTGGCATGGTCGACCTACCAATCCGGGCCGCCTGCAGGACGTGGCATCGGGGCATGATGTTACAGAGGCCCTGCAAGGACATGTCCTGGCATCTCTCGTGGGCAGGACAGGTGCTGACCGGGCACGCCCGATCTGAGATTTCTTCGAGCTCACGCGTGCAGTGCTTGCCTTCGAAGTACCACCAGGGGTTGACAAGAGGAGGGAGGAAGGAGGATGGGAGGACGGAGGGATGGGAGGGACGAGCGATGAAGGAATGATGGAAAGTGGCGGGAGGAGGGAGGCACGAGGAGGAGGGAGATGGGGCGGCAGAAGGCAGAAAAGCTCTGTTGAAGGAAGGGCGGCACGCTTTCCTCGAGTCCCGTCCACCCACGTCTTCGCTTCGTCATCCTCATCCTGCTCATCACCGTCCTCCTCCTGGTCCCTGGTGACTTGACGATCCTGCGGATGTCTTCCTCCTCCTTCTCCTCCTCCCCCTCATGCGCGCAGTCCTCGTCCTCGTCCTCGTCCTCCTCGTCGTCGTCGTCGGCGTTCTCCACTCCTGCCTGCTCCCAATGCTCCTCCTCCTCCTCCTCCTCCTTCTCTTCCTACTCTTCTTCCTTCCAATGCTCCTCCTCCCTTCCCCGTACCTTCGTTCGTGATGCGATTTGGCATGAATCCTTACTGTCTATCGGCACACACTACCGGCCCAACTGGGGACAAATCAGATCCAAATTGCGTCCAAGCCATTTTCCGACAACCATTTTCCGACAACGAACAAAGACTATCACCGATCAGCGCTATCCGCAGGGGACGAACGCATGCTCCTCCTTCCCCAGCTCCTGACGCTGCTCCTCCTCCTCCTCCTCCTCCTCCTCTTCCTTTTGCCCTCCTCGTAGTTAGGAGCAGGGCGAATTGAGACAACGGCAATTCAAACTCGGTCCCCGAACCCATCCCGCGGTCCCAGCGCTTCAATTGTCCGAGACGCGTTCAGCCGTGGCGACGAGGGAGCCCCCCGAATGCCAACCACCGTTGCCTCAACTCGTTCTTCTCTGAGTAGCCCTCGCCCTAGTGCCCCTGCCTCCGCCCCTGGAAGAGAGCTGTTGCCTTTTCAACCTTGGCTCGGGCATTAGCTCTGTCCCGACAGAAATACTGCCAGGCACTCTCTTGGAGAGTGGGCCTTGGGCGCTGTGAGCGCCACAGAGCTGCAAGCAAAATGGCATCAGATGACATACGCTACTACTGCTCGTCCCTCCAACCAGCCCCTACGGCCAGCCTTTGTGTGCATACGTGAGCAGGCTCCGCCCTCGTCCTTTGTCCTTGCCTCCGCCCTCGTCCCAAATCGCGCTTCCTCCTCCTCCTCCTCCTCCTCCTCCTCCTCGGGACCGATCGCAGGCCGGCCCAAGTCCAGCATCTGCGTCGCCATGCGTCTGCGCCGATACGCCTTCAGGACGTCCATCGCCTCCCCCCAGGACCCATTCGGAGGGAGGGTGCGCCGAAGTGGGAGAGGAGGAATCACAGAGGTAAGGGGAAGAGAGCACTGCCAATTACGCTGGATCCCCCTTCACCCTCCGCTCCTCGCCTCTCGGTGCTCCTCCCCCCCTCCCGGTCGGCCTTCTCGCTTCTCTCCCTCCTCCCGCCTTCCTCCCGGATCGCCCTGAACGCCTGCGCTGGGGTTGCCGTCGCATCAGCAAGGCGCGAACTCGTCGTAGATATCGAATTCATGCGAATCTTGCAGGCACGCTGGCCTATGCACAATCGGTGATGATTCGTGGGCTCCAAAGCTGCGCAGCACGGAAAGCCGGGCACAGAGCTGGAATCCAGATGGCTAAGGTTTCCCCGTCCTCGTCCTCGTGCTCCCTCTTCCGTCCTCCCTCCTCCGCTCTTCCTTGCACCCACCCTACCCTGTTCCACGCCTCCCCACTCAACGCAACACTGCCTGCTCTGTCAATGCCACTGCATCAGTGCAGCAACTCTTGCCCATACGATCATCATCTACTTGTTCCTCGCGCACTTACTTCCTTACTGCACACATTGTTAATCTCAGCCGAGGCCCCGCTTGAACGCTACCTCACAAGACTTTACTCAGCACTCGCTCCGCCCCGAATCCAATTCATCATACTCGGACTTTGAGGTCATCCCCATTTCTGCAACAGCTTTCCACTAATAGCATTTACTCTCGCCCATCGTCCGAGGGGTAACGAAGGGTAACTAACAAGCACCACTGCCGTTGTGTCATTTCTGGTACCGCGCCCACGGCGGAATCATGCAAACGTCGGTTCGAATAGACGAAGGGTGCGTCGCGTGAATCGGCAGGGCACAATAGCAAGCCCAAGGGCGGCACTCCCCCTACCGGCCATCGCGGCATTTGCTGTTGGTGCCCCTGGTCAACATCCTTCTCTTGCTTCTGCTGCTAATGCTGCTGCTACTCTCTTCGTCGTCCTCTCACTCACTCGTCCTCCTCCTCGTCCTGCTCGGCCTTAATTATGCTGCTCCTCATCATCCTCGTCCTCCTAACATGCAAGCGATGAGCCCATCCTCCCTGGCACGCCACCTCCACGTGCACCATGCTGCCGCCCTCGTCGTGGCTGCGAGGCTCCTCCCGGAAGGAGCTCCCCAGTCGCCGATGAGAGAGGAGGGGGGATGAGGATGGCGACGAGGAGGGACATCGGGAGCAGCTGAACGAGGTGGAGGATGAGGATCTGCCACGGCAAATCCGTGTCGTGCTCGTGACAACTTCGGCTTTGGTCTCCGACACCGCGCGGACCGTTCGACGTCGGCCGATTCTGGGCAACCGGCGCGTTCACCCTTGAACGCCCGCGCTGGGGTCGCCGCCGCGCCGACACGCCTCGAACCTGCTGCACATCGGCATGCATCTCCTCCTCCTCCTCCTCCTCCTCCTCCTCCTCCTCCTCTTCCTTCTCCTCCTCCTCCTCCTCCTCCTCCTACTCCTCCTCTGCGATCGAATCGACGAGAACGGCGCCCGCGGCCGCTCACTGGGATGGTCCAGACACTTTGTTTTGACGTCGCAGCTCGGCAAAGGCAATTCGCACGCGCGCTCGGGCAAACCGGATGACGGCAATGCGAAGTGCCTGGATGGACAAAACACTCTTGAATCAAAACGACCTGGCGGGCGCCCGCCTGCATCCATTGCGGCCACAACAACATCTCGATAACCAGAACATGGCAACTCGCCAATCCACTTGGCAGGGTGGGGGTTCTATCGACCGTGAGAGGTAACGTTAGCGGGGGACCGGCAGAGGGGAAACATCGACCTGGAATCGGCGATGCATCGCCGATGCATCGGCGACATGCCTCCGACGACGAGCCCACACGGCCCTGGGCGGGGCCGGCTGTCGGGCCCTCATCGGCGACGAGTGGGCGATCGGGGCTCGATGCGTCCTCCCCCTCGTGAGCCCTCTCCCCCCGACGTTGCCCCTGAAGCCCCTGACCAGCGCCCGATCGGCCTCGGCGCCCCCCCCCGGGGCCCGCTCGCCCGTGCCGCCGACCCCGCCGCGCCTCGAGGCAGGCGGCCCCTGAGACCTGGGCGTGGCGGCGTCTTCCCGCAGATCGCTCTCACCCTGTCTCGGGCCCCGGGGGCCCTCGCGGACGGATCCTGCTCGAGCTGGTTGATTTCTCAGCGCGATCTTCGGAGGGGGAGGGAGGGAGAGGCCACACCTCCAGGCAACGATCTCGGCGAGGCCAGCGTGTACGTAACCACGGTGCTACCAGCAGGAGGCGAGACGCAAAAGGCGCCGCGCAAGAGGATCTGACTCGAGAGATGCTGCGAACAGATGGGGCTGGGGCTCCGGCCGTGATCGTTCACGGGGTTGCACTTCCCCCCACCCGACGAATGACGACTGCATACCGCGGCATCCAGGCCCAAACTGTGACGGTGCTCCCTGGGTGTCCCGCCTCACGTTCTTGGGTGGGGACCGCGCGAACAAAAGGGCGACCGTAACAAAAAAACGCAACAACGCGACCGAAGCCCCCAACCCCGTCTTTCTGTGGCACTCTTCGAGGGTCGATCCGTCAGGGCCCCAGGCCCCGAAGCAAGGCAGCACCGCCCGTGAAGGTTTCGGCGGCGTCGGGCCTCGGGGGCCCGACGCCCAGCGTCGGCACGGGCGCCGCCATGGCCCCTGCTGCCCGAGCGGCTCGCGCTCCGCCGGTCCAGCCCCTCGGACCCCCCGAGCGAGGGGCAGGGCCACGGCTCGCCCGTGCTGGGCTACACACGCCGACGGGGGCGAACGGCGGCAGTCCTTCCCCCGGGCATGTCAGGAAAGGTCAGCATCGAATCGGTGAATCGGATCGGGTCGGAGCGTGCATCGAATCGGACCGCATCGGCACGTAGTCGGCTTCGAACCGGATCGGCGGCGCCAGGATGCACATCAGCGCCATGCAAGCATCGGGTCGCACCATATGGTTCGGCAACCATAACTGACTTGAATCGGGCGGGCCAGGGCCGACATCGAATCGAATCGATCGGATCGAAGGGGACCCTGCGAACGGCGGCAACCCTCTCCCCAGACATGGTGACGTCATGAAAAGATCGCGACGGAATGTTTTAGCCGCCTTCGGACTCCACGGGTCCTCGCCAGGCCCCGGGACCGTCAAAGAACGGCTCGGTATGAAAAACATTGCCCTGAGGAGGAGGAGGAGGAGGAGGAGGAGGAGGAGGAGGAGGAGGAGGAGGAGGAGGAGGAGGAGGGGGAGGGGGAGGAGGAGGAGGAGGAGGAGGAGGAGGAGGAGGAGGAGGAGGAGGAGGAGGAGGTGAGGAGGAGGAGGAGGAGGAGGAGGAGGAGGAGGAGGAGGAGGAGGAAGGGGAGGGGGAGGAGGAGGGGGAGGAGGAGGCGGAGGAGGAGGAGGGGGCCAGGACTTCCGGGGCCCCGCATTGCAGGAAGCAACGTATCGGACGTCTGGGCTCAGAGCTGGTGGCGCCCGCGGGCGTGCCGCCTTGGAGCAGGGCCTTGGAGCCCGTGCGAGGAGGGCCTCGTCGCCCGGCCCTCCTCTGCGGCCACGCCGCGAAGCCCAGGGCCCGCAGCGCAGCTACGGGACGCACCGCGCCTCCGAGTCTGCGGACGGGCTGCGCCGCGGACCGAGCAGGAGTCGTCGCTGGGTGTCTCTGCCCCTTGAACCAACCACTGGTCCCATTCCGCCCCATTTCCTCCTCCTCCTCCTCTTCGTCCTGGTGAAGCCGCGTCACGGGACCCAATGGGACCGCCCCAACATTCGCCACTCACTTTGCCCACTCGTTGCCCTGACCCCTGACACCGAATACCAAACGCGATGGGCGCTTGCGACCGCCGAGCCACCCAAGAACTGGGCGCACCGACAGGGTTCCCTGACATGCGCCGGTATGGTATTTTTCAACCTGCGGCCCCAGAGGTCCCGACCGTTTCCCTCGGGGTAACTCTGCGTCCTGTATCTGCTTTTGATGGCCCTAGGGCCTGATATCCTGCCCCAGGGGCGAACATCCAGGAAAAACACCCAGAATGAAAACATCGTATCGTCAGATATGAGCTTTCGCCTTGGCAAGATCAGTCAACATCGAATCGGTAAAATCGTATCGAATCGACACGTGCATCGGACCTGGCTGCATCGCTATGGACTCGAAATCGAATCGGATCGGCTGCGCCAAGATGCACAACAACGACATGCAAACATCGGGCCGCATCGAACCGTCGCAACATCGGAATCGATCGAATCGAAATGGACCCTGCCCTGGTGAGCTGAAGCACCGGGTGCAACGCCTCCCCAACTCTCCAGGGGAAGTGGCGGCCGGGGGGTTCCAGGCGGCAGCACACGCAGCACACCAGCAGGCCGCTGCTGTAGCCGACGCGGGTGTAGTCCGAGGCCGCCATGGCCTGGGCGCTCGCGCCGCCCCGAGGTCGCCGCCGTCGCCGCCGCCAGCGTCGCCGTCGCTTTCCATGGCCGATGCCCCTACCTGCTGGCGGCCCCACGTCCCCATTCCGCCCTGACGCAGGCGCTCCAAGGAGGGAGGGAGTGGAAGAACAAACAAATGGATAGACATAAACTTTCGGAGCTCTGCGCGACTTTCTCGAATCGGGACTGGGAGCGCGCCAGGGGCAGCTTTAGAGGCGCCGCCAAGGGGTCCAGCGCTGACCTCCCATCGTTTGTGTCTATGCAGTTCCTTCTTCCTCGACGGAGGGAAGGGGCAATAGAGAGAGAGGGAGAGAGAGAGAGAGAGCGAAGGAAAGAGAGAGAGAGAGAGAGCGAGAGAGAGGGACTGGGGGCAAGAGAGAGGCAGGAGCAAGAGAGAGCGAGAGCGAGAGAGAAAGGGGGTGGACGTCCCGGTGCGGAGGGGAGATGTAATTGGATGGAGGGAGAGGGACGGAATAAGGGAGGGAGGAAGGACGGATGGAGGCAGGAAGGACTCAAGAAAGAAAGGAAGACAGATACACGGGACGGCAGAAGGGAAGATGTAGGCAGGAAGGAAACAATGCCGATCGTAACGGAGTCTGTGCACGGCAAATCGAATTCTTGCCGTTTTCGAGAATCTGGCTCTTGAGTAATCACTGTGTTTGAAATCCGTACCAGTCGGCGTGTGTGAGAGGCCCTGCGACGCGAGGCCAGTCGAACCCAAACTGAAGTATGCCAGCCTCCTTTGCGTCGTCGTCGTCGTCGTCGACGTCGTCGTCGTAAGGGAGATCAAACAAACAAGGCGGATCGAACAATGTCGCAATTGCGTCCAAAGGACAACGCTTCCCTTTGTCTCTTCCCTGCAAGGGAAGGGGTGTCCGGGGGGGTACCAGGAGGTGGTCCTGGGGAGGGGGGGTCCCGGGAGGTGTCCCGGGAGGGGGGGTCCCAAGGGTTGTGAGCCCCCCCGGTGGCTTTCCCATTCGGTTTTCGCTTCCAGGACGCCCGCCCCCGACGAGACAATCTGCTCTCCTCCTCCTCGTCTTCCTCCTCCTCCTCTTTCTCCTCATCTTCTTCCTCCTCGTCTTCCTCCTCCTCCTCCTCCTCCTCCTCGTCTTCCTTCTCCTCTTCCTCCCCCTTCCCCTCCTCCTCCTCCTCCGCCTCCTCCTCTGCCTCCTCCTCCGCCCTCTCCTCCTCCCTCCACCGCTCGCCCCATGTCTCGAACCTGCGGCAGGGTCATCAGCTCGTCGCTGTCGTCGTTGTCGAGGTCGTCGTCGTGGTCGCTGTCGTCGTCTTTCTGGGTCGGCGGCGCCGGCTGTAAGTGAGACCTTCACATTAGCAAGAAACACTGCTCACCGAAATCGGCCAAAAAGGCGACGCCGGAATCGGATCCCGAACAGAAAACACAACAACGACGACGGAACCGAACGAAAAAAAATGGAGGAATCGGAAAAACAACAAAACATTCGAGCGATCCCCACCGAAACCTTAACCGTTTGTTCCAGAAAATTCAAGCCGTGTTCCATGTAGTCACGTTCTGTCATGTCATGCTCTATTCTGTACTGTTCTGTTCTTGACGGGCTGGCGTGACGTCGTGACGTCTGCGACGTTAGATGCGTCGCCTGTTATGCTGTTCCTCTTCACTTATATTTTTCCTCGGATTGAGTATGCTACATTGTGCTCATCTCTGCCACCATATGCTTTGAGATATTATGGTATGGTCTGCTCTGCGGCACTATGCTATGACTTGATATGTTATGCCAAAATATATTATCGTATGCTCTGTCCCGTGATGCTGTTGACAGCTCGGCTCAATTTTGAGCTGATCTGCTAGTATGTTTCGCTTTACTTTGATGTCGCGTTGTGATATGCTCTGTGATGCTGGCATGATATGATCCCATCTTTTCTGTCATGGTGTTTTATGTTATGCTCGGCTTTGTTCTGTTCTGCTGTGCTCTGTCGTCTTCTGTTCTGTCATGTTCTGCTCTGGTATGTTCTGTGCTGTTCTGCTTGTT